AATTAACAACAAGAACAACAACAACAACCCAGTATAATCTCACTTAGTGGGGTCTGGGGAGGGTAGTGTGTACGCAGACCTTACCACTACCATAGGTAGAGAGGTTGTTTCCAAATAGACCCTCGGCGTCCTTACCTCCAAGAACTTCCCACCTTGCTCGTAGGGAGACTCGAACTCACAACCTCTTGGTTGGAAGTGGAGGTTGCTTACCATCAGAGCAACCCAGTATAATCCCACTTAGGCCTTATTAAGTATTTCTTAAAAATGGGGTGAGGTATGCCATCTTAATTAAATCGCCTATAGCCCTCACAAATATTATAACTAGATATTAAAAAATGAGTATTCGTAGAAAAGCCTTTAGGCGCGTTTAAAATACTATTTTGATTGTGTACACGTTCGCTTGACATAATTAAGATTCTAAAAACCAATTCGGAGTATGCGTTCGCACAACTTCGACCAAACTTTCTCAATAATAATAAAATTGTTATTAATATAGTCCGCTTTAATTAAATATAGTTCTTTAAAAATAGACCGGGGTGTGCCATCCATAGTTAAATCGCTATGGCCCTCTTGTTAAGTGTTGTAAAAATGATATTCGTAGTTTGCTTTAGGCGCGTTTAATATACCATCGTGGTTGTGTACACGTTCGCGTGACATAATTATGATTCTAAAAACAAAATCGGAGTATGCGTTCGTGCAACTTTGGCCAAACATTCTTAACAATAATAAGGCGTTATTAATTGTGGACACGTTCACGTGACATGATTTTTGACGTGCCAAACAAACGGGTACACGTGCGCGTGACCCGTTTTAAGATAATTTCTTAATTAAAAGAGGCAAATGCACATAGGTTCTAAAAATGAGTAATTAGACAATTTGATTAAGCCAAGTATGATCAAAGCGACCGTGCTAAAACCACAAAATTCGGGAATGCCTAACACCTTCTCCCGGGTTAACAGAATTCTTTACCCGGATTTCTATGTTCGCAGACAATAAATAAGAGTCAAACTTTCCTCGATTCAGGATTTTAAACCGGTGACTTATGACACCATAAATTCTTTCAAGTGGTGACTCTGATTTTAATAAATAATCCTATTTCGGTTATCACTTAAATTGGAAAACCTCCCTTACATCCCTTGCGGGGTAGTAAAAAAGGAGGTGTGACAGCTCTAGCGACTCTGCTAGGGACAAGAACCCCGACCTTCTGGTTCGGGATTCAATAATTCGAGCTTGTTAATATGATGTTTACTTAGATTCATTTATTGTTAATATTATTGTATTCTGTGAACCTTTTGCGCTAACTGCTGTCTATTTAACGCTTTGATATTATTTGAATTGTATATAACCGTATTCTTGCGCCATCCCTCTGAGTCTTCTAAAAATGGTGCACACGTTCGCGTGGCACACTTTTTCTGTAGAAGTTTTACCAAATAGAACGAGGCTGGGCTAGCAATAAGGCCGGGTGGACTTTAGTGCTCCTGGTACGTTGCCCCATCTTTGGCTCGAGTTGTCCGCTCGAGTAAGCCATGTGCATTTGACCTTGGGGACTCAACACAGGGGTTGGGTCCGTCTAGGACAGGTGTACCTAAAATAATAGACCATCCTGATGCATCCTATGTGCTATGTAAACATTTATTTGTTTCGGCTTGCATGTCGACCGGCTAGGAAAAGTAAGTCAAGAGAAAAACCAAGAGTGATGTAAGGAAGAAATAAAGCCCGGTTCTGAAAAATCCCCGATATCTGGAAATGTCCTGAAACTCTGCCGAAAATTTTCAAAAACAAAAGAGGAAAAGAAAAAAAGTCATTTCAAAATAAGTCAATAATGTGTCCTTTTCAAATGTGTCAAAACTGACCGAGCTACGCAGGTCTGATTCTCACCGGATGTGGGATACGTAGGCAACCTACATAAGGTTCGGCCTTATTTTTCGAAAAAAAGAGAAAAAGAGTAAATGGTCAAATAAATGTAGTTTAGGGTTTTGGTCAAAAGAATAAACCGATCCAGCTTCGGTTATGTCTTAAGCCGTTCTTTCCGGGATAGCCTTAGAGTATCTTCAGTTGTCGAAGGGCTATTTTCATAAAGAACGGATAAGTCTACCGGTAAAGTGTCATTTTTCCATAAAGTAATTCTCCCCGGCCTCAAAACAACCACTTTTGCTAAGAGTAGCATAGAGGGGAGGGGGTCATGGTCCATTGATTTTTTTTTTTAGAAACTAAAAAACCTATTTTACAAAAAGTTCACTTGAGTCAAACCTAATCTTAACCTTCCACAGGTACAAATGAACATTGTCCAGAATCCGTCAGAGTTGGTCATAGAACAGGCTCAACTACAGCTGCATATGTGGTGGAATGATCTAGATGAAGATTGTCGGGATTGGGTGAAAGAGCAGTTGGGTGCCCTTATAAACATTCTAGAAATCAAACCACGGGAAGATCTAATCAAGGCTTTGGTAACTTTTTGGGACCCCGTCCACAATGTTTTTCGTTTCTCGGATTTTGAGATCACCCCTACTCTGGAGGAGATGGCCGGGTATATTGAGTTTGGCCGGGACTTGAGGAAACAACAACTTATATTCCTTCTGTGCACAAGTTCTTTGACCTCCTGAATATCAATAAGCAAATGAAGAAGGCCCATGTAAACAAAGGATGTTGTTCTTTCTACTTCTTGTACTTCAGGTTCAGGCACTCAGCTGGGTTCGAAATGCATGAAAAGGGTTTGAACAACAAACAAGATAAGGGCATCTGGCAAATTCATTGTCGGTTCGCTTTCATTGTCGGTTCGCTTTCATTGTGGCATTTTTGGGGATTATGGTCTTTCCATATGCAAAGGGGACAGTGGATATCCGTATGGCCAGAATTGCACAAATCCTCACTACTAAGAAAGATCATACACTTGCTCCGCTAGTGTTGGCAGACATTTATCGAGCATTGACATTGTGCAAGGCGGGGGCTCAATTCTTTGAAGGTTACAATATTCTTCTACAAATGTGGTTGATCGAGCATCTCCGCCATCACCCAAAATTCATGAGCTATGGTTCAAGCACAGATAACTTCATCAAGAGTGACGAGGAAAGGGTGAAAGACTACAATGCTCCCGAAGGGCTTGAAGCCTGGGTCTCCCACTTGAAAGTTCTAAAAGCAAGTCAGGTCGAGTGGACTATAGGATGGCTCCCGATGACATAAGTCATACACATGACGGCTACCAAGGGTTACCTAATGTTGATGGGTTTGAGGAGTGTCCAGCCATATGTACCGCAGAGGGTCTAAAGACAGTTAGGAAGATATCAGGTGGTGTCAGAAGATGAAGATCTAACCACCCAGGTCATTGAGCTATATACCGAAGCTGCATTGCCCGAAACCTTAGTTCAACAGGATTGGAATGGTTGCCAGTATCTGAAAAATGGCACCCAGGTACCAGATGTTGCAAAGGGGGAAGTGGATCCAGATTACGTTGCATGGTTTGAGAAAAGGTCTTGTGCAAACAATGAGCTAGAGCCTAAGCCCGAGCTCGAGCCCGAGAGGCCTGCCAAGAGACCTCATGTTCAAGCTTTTGATGATAAAGTCCAAGAAAGGTTGGCATGGGGAGAAAAGGAGAAAAAATATCAAGCCGTCATTCACACCTTGGAAGAGAAATTGATAAACATGGAATTCAATAATGATCTCCGGGCGCAAGAAGCTGAAGGTGAGAGAAGAAGGTTGGCCCAAGAAAATAAAGCTCTCCGAGCCCAAGTTCGAAAGATGAGAATAGCAACTGAGAACCCAGGCAGAAGCAGAAAATATGAAAAGCTCATCTATAGCCTTACGCAAAAAGTACGTGACTATGAGGATGACTTGCAAAAGACTGAAGCTGAACTAGCAAAGGCCCGAGCCAAGCTAGCTAAGAATGTAGAGGGACGGGCAAGTTTCGTTCGACAATTGAAAGAGAAGTACGACAAAGGAATGGTGGGTCTAAAGAAAAAGGTCAATGTCCTTGAGAACGAAATGACCAAGCAGGCAAGAGACTTCAAAGCAGAAAGGGAGCACTGCTATGCCATGATGTCGCAGCTAGAAAAAGACCTGCAGCAGCTTCAACAGCAAAATCATACAGCCGAATAAGTTTTGGGTGCTAGATCTCAACAGATTGGACGGTTGATACAAGAGAAGGGTATCATCAGGGAAAGGGTTAGGAGGATTGCGGACTACATTGTGATGAAGTGCAACGAGTGCGAAGATATGACCCGGTCCATGTTCTTCGCTTCAGTTATGATTTTTGTCCGATAGATCATGGATGACCTGTTTTGTCTTCAAGAAGATATGACGCATAGGCCCGCAGCAAGGCTAAATGGAGCAACAGTGGAAGCACTTATGTATTCTTGATTTTATCTTTCGAGTATGTATTGCAATTTATTTTAGAGTCTGTTAGTTCATTTCGAGTCTTGTTTTAAGTTTTAGAAAATGTTTAAGTCTGTAGGGTGGAGTCATTGTAATAGGAAAAACCCATAATGTTTTATTTTATAAAATTTGAAAAAATAAAAAAAGCGTCTTTCTCTCCTGAACTACGTAATGATCTGATTCATGCAGCGCCATGATATGTAGGCAATCCCCATAGGATTCGATCATAACCATAAAATAAAAAAAAAGAGGAAAAAGAGGAGAGAAAGAAAATAAAGAAAATCGAGTGGAAAGAAATAATGGCAAAACAAGAGAGAAAAAACGAGTGCAAAATAAAAGGGAGGCAACAAAAACAAGTGGAAAAGGGCAATAGTGATTAAAGAGGGTTTGGAGTGAAAAGATAAAAGAGAAAAGAGAGAGAAGAGAAAGCACAAAATGCGAAGAGTTAGTTAAAAGCCGGGATGAAGCATGCAACCATTCAAATACACGATAGAAGCTTTAACTGTCTAGGTGCATTGCATCCCAAATGTGCGGTTGCCTATCTGTTAAATCTTGAGTACAGGAAGGTGGTTAGTTTGTTTGGCATTCTGGCAACCCATCCGTACAACACCAGGTCTAAAAACAAGTTGATCATGGCTGGCCAAGAACTGGACGCAAGTATTATTGATCCACCGAGAGAGGTGGAGGAGTCTGAGGTTGGTCTAAAAGAGGAGTTACATAAGTTGAAACACCAAATGATAGAGATGTACCAGGCACGGATGAAAGGGCATCCCCCACCATCATTACCCCGCCAACCCTGCTTTTATCCCACCGCTAGCTCAGTCCCAAGAACCTCCCACTACAGATTCATCCCCACAACATGCACCAAACTTCACCCCTTACCACCACTATCATGGCACCACTTCCCAAACCATACAAGCTCCACCAGCCAAAACAACCCCATACCCCCCTCCACCAGCTACCCATATTTTTGTAGCACCTCCACCAGCTACACTTCATCGATCTTCTAGTGAGCCATTATTCCAGACCCAAGATAATTAGTACTATCCCCCAGAGCCTACTTTCAAGGCCCCAGATCATTACTCCTACACTCCTCATTTCGACCTCTCTGTTGAGACTGAGAAACCACCTAAAACCCCGAAACAGGAGGAGATATTTAGGAAGGCGAGAAGCCTAGAACAATCGCTCAGAAACATGAAAGGGTTGGGAGGTCAAGTAAGTGTAGCCTACAAAGATCTGTCTTTGTTCCCTGACGTACAGCTATATGTTGGGTTCAAAATGCCCAAATTTGATTTGTATGACGGGCACAGAGACTCTGTGGCCCACTTAAGGGGATTCTATAGTAAAATGAGAGGAGCCGGCGGGAAGGATGAGCTGTTAATGGCATATTTTAGCCAGAGTCTGAGTGGCGCAGCATTGGAGTGGTACACTCATCAAGATCACAACAGATGGTATACCTGGGATGATTTGGCCCAAGCATTCGCTCGTCATTTCCAATACAACATCGAGATTGTTCCAGATCATTTGTCTTTGACTAAGATTGAGAAGAAGCCTAGTGAAAGTTTCAGGGAATACGGTTTCCGCTGGAGAGAACAAGCAGCAAGGGTTAACCCTCCAATGGAGGAGAACGAAATGGTGGAATACTTTCTTCAGGCTTTGGAGCCTACTTACTTTGGTCATCTGATCTCGGCCATAGGTAAGTCTTTCAATGAAGTAGTAAAAATGGGAGGAATGGTAGAGGAAGGGCTCAAATCAAGCAAGATCATGAGCTACTCTGCCATCAAAGCAACTACGCAGGCAATCCAAATGACACCGGAGGCGTGCTTGGTAAAAAGAAGAAAAAGGATGTCGCTATGGTCGTTTCAAGATCATGGCACGGACCAGGAGATTCTCCTACCCACTACACCCAACCTCGACCCTAGCTTCAAGCCTATATTCCAACTCCATATAGTCCACCCCAGCACTAGTTCCCACCACCAGAGCCTCAATACTCAGTCAGGCTACCCCAATATCATGTCCATCATGCACAGTCATATGCTCAACCCCCTCCTTACCCGCAATGGCGTGCACCAGCTCCACGAAACCCTTACCCACCACCACAAACATACCGAAACCCTACTGGTCCAAATTTTCGAGCCAAGCCAGAATTCAGGAATGAAAGGTTGCAGCGGAAGAAAACTTTCACCCCACTTGGGGAATCTTATACCAACCTATTTCAAAGGTTGAGGCAGTTGGATGTTCTGAGGCCAATTGAGTCAAAACTACCAAACCCCCCTCCAAAGAACCTAGATTATTCTCTTAGATGTGCGTACTGTTCTGATACTCCGGGGCACGACACAGTAAAGTGTTGGCACTTGAAGAACGCCATCCGAGAGCTCATTGCAGGACCATGCTGAAATGCACATGATTGAGATAGTGCACAAAGATGGGAAGCCCAAGAAGCCTTCATAATCTGTCATGATAATCCGGTCTAGTGAAAGTAAGTCGGTCGAGGACCCGGTTGTCACAAAAGCAACCTCTTTGATAGCTGAAGGATCGGCGGACAAGTTGAGCATGCCAAATAATAAGCCAGTTGTGGTAGTTGAAAAGAGGTCCCCAAGTGATGTTATAGCAAAGCAAGAAAAGCCAAAGGTGATCGTGCCGGGGGTCGCAAGTAAACCGGTCATAATTATGGAGGGTGCTCGCACGGACCCTATAATTATCAAACCTTTAACCCAGCTGTCGGTAGCTAACACCAAGGCTGTCCTATGGAACTATGAGCGAGTGACAATGACCTATAAGGAAAGGAAGTGAAAGAGGAAGTTAACGAGGTCCAAGGATTAACTCATTCGGGGAGATGCTTTGCCCCGGAAGAGTTAAGGAAAGCTAAAACACTTAGAGACAATCTAGTTCTAGTGAAGAAACCGGTCACTGAAGAAGAGGTGGAGGAGTTTTTGAGAAAAATGAAGGTACAAGATTACTCCATCATAGAACAGTTGAGAAAGACTCCTGCTCAGATTTCCCCGTTATCATTGATGATCCATTCAGATGGCATCGCCGCGCCCTGATGAAGCTGAACGAAGCTCATGTCCCCGACAAAATCACTGTGAACCATCTGGAGAAGATTTCCAATAAGATATTTGAGTCTAACCGGATCACATTCTCTGATGATGATTTGCCTCTGGAGGGTACGAAACACAATCGAGCCCTCTATCTCATAGTGAAATGCGAAGAGTCTGTGGTCATAAGGGTGTTACTTCACAATGGTTCCAGTGCAAACATCTGCCCTCTCTCTACTCTGAACAAGTTAAAAGTTGATGATGAGAGGATTCACAAGAACAACATATGCGTCCGAGGTTTTGACGGAGGGGGAAAAGACTCTGTTGGCGACATCACGCTCGAGTTAACTATAGGACCAGTCGAATTCACCATGGAGTTCCAGGTACTGGATATGGTTGTTTCTTACAATTTGCTATTGGGTAGGCCTTGGAAACATGTTGCTAAGGTGGTTCCGTCCTCTTTACATGAGATGGTAAAGTTCAAATGGGATTGACAAGAAATCGTCGTGCATGGCGATGAGAATTTATGTGCTTTCAATGATACCTCCATCCTATTTATTGAAGCTGAAGAGGATAAGGGCAGTGGGTCTATCAAGTGTCCGAAGCGGTGTTAGTTGAAAAGGTTCTGGAAGGGGAATACATCCCGGGTCCAAAGTTAGCTTCTGCAATCGTCATGGTAGCAACCGAGATGTTGAAAAATAATTTTATGCCGGGCAAGGGTCTGGGTGAATCTCTGCAAGGTATCATACAACTAGTGTCCTTGCGTGAAAATCTGGGCACATTTGGTCTGGGGTTCAAGCCTACAGGGGATGATGTGAAGAAGGCTCGAAAGTTGAAAAAGAAGGCATGGTCGCTCCCTAAGCCAGTCCCACGTCTCTCCAGGTCTTTCATCAAGGCAGGGGTTGTGAAGCATCCAGTGACAACAGTTCCAAGGCCTGTGGTTGATTTTGATGAGGAATTGGTTAAAAGGTTCCAGAGTTTGTTTGATGAAGTGAACATGGTAGAAACTAGGGAAGGTTCCAGCAAAGCGGATGTGCAGTTTGTTGGGCCGAAAGTGAAGATTAACAATTGGGATGCCACTCCTCTCCCTACCCAGAAGGAGTTTTAGTAGTTTGCTTTGTTTTCCTTTCAGTTTATCTGGATTATTCCAGGGTTGTAATTCAGATTTTATTTCCGTCTGTTGATGTACAAACCCTTCTATCCTTTAATTTATTGAAATGCGATTTCCCTTTTCCATTACTCCTGATAGTGTCATTTTCTTTTCTTTCTTTGTACAGTTCTTTTTATGCTGGTTTCAATGACATGATATGCATGAGGAATCTTCAGCCAAGTCATAAAAGTCAATCTCACTCTGAAATAATAATCCAAGAAATAGAGTGTGATGATGAAATAGAATATGATGAAGATGAAGCATTTGAAGAAATTAGTAAAGAGCTAAGTCACTTTGAAGAGAAACCCAAGCCTAATTTGAATGAAATTGAGGCAATCAATTTAGGGGATCCAGATAATATCAGGGAAACCAAGATAAGTGTACACTTGGAACCACAAATCAGGGAAGAAATAATCAAAGCAATGTTTGAATATAAAGATATTTTTGCATGGTCATATGACGACATGCCGGGTCTGACTACTGACTTGGTGGTTCTCAAATTGCCCACTGACCCGACATTCCCTCCCATCAAGCAGAAGTTAAGGAATTTCAAAACTGACATGAGTGTGAAGATCAAGGAAGAAATCACAAAGCAGTTGAACGCAAAGGTCATTCGAGTCACGCGATACCCCACTTGGTTAGCTAATGTTGTGCCAGTGCCAAAGAAGGACGGCAAGACCAGGGTGTGCGTCGATTACCGCGATCTCAACAAAGCAAGTCCAAAGGATAATTTTCCATTGCCAAATATCCACATTTTGATTGACAACTGTGCCAAGAATGAGATCGGTTCTTTTGTGGATTGCTATGCGGGATACCACTAGATTTTGATGGATGAAGAGGATGCAGAAAAGACAGCATTCATCACACCATGGGGAACTTATTGCTACCGGGTAATGCCATTTGGTTTGAAAAACGGTGGGGCAACTTACATGAGGGCAATGACTACTGCGTTCCATGACATGATACACAAGGAGATTGAGGTTTATGCAGATGATGTGATCGTAAAGTCAAAGCAACGGGCCGACCATGTCGGAGATTTGAGGAAGCTTTTCCAGAGGCTCCGCAGGTACAATCTTAAGCTTAACCCTGCCAAGTGCGCATTTGGTGTTCCATCCAGAAAACTATTGGGATTCATAGTCAGTCATCGAGGCATTAAGTTGGACCCGTCAAAGATCAAAGCTATCCAAGAATTGCCACCTCTAAGGAACAAGACTGAGGTGATGAGTCTGCTCGGGCGTTTAAAGTACATCAGCAGATTTATTGCTCAACTCACAACAACTTGTGAGCCCATCTTTAAGTTGTTGAAGAAGGATGCAGCAGTCAAATGGACTGATGAGTGCCAGGAGGCATTCGATAAGATCAAGGGGTACTTGTCAAACCCACCTGTGTTGGTCTCGCCGGAACCCGAGGGACCTTTAATTCTTTATTTGACAGTCTTGGACAATTTGTTTGGCTGTGTATTGGGTCAACATGACATCACTGGCAGGAAGGAGCAAGCCATCTATTATCTCAGCAAGAAGTTCACATCCTATAAGGTTAAGTACACTCCCCTTGAAAGGACATGTTGCGCCTGACTTGGGTGGCACAAAAGTTGAAGCATTATCTGTCGTCCTACACTACTTACCTCATTTCTCGTCTGGATCCTCTTAAGTATATATTTTAGAAGCCTATGTCCATAGGAAGACTTGCAAAGTGGCAGATTTTGCTCACAGAGTTTGACATCATCTATGTGACTCGGACCGCGATGAAAGCCCAAGCATTGGCCGATTAGTTGGTCGAGAACCCGGTAGATGAAGAGTATGAGCCATTGAGGACTTATTTTCCTGATGAAGAGGTGATGCATATTGACGAGGTAGAACAGGATGACAAGCCAGTTTGGAAACTTTTCTTTGATGGAGTCGCTAACATGAAATGTGTCAGAATAGAGGTCGTGCTTATTTCTGAAACAGGGTATCACTACCCTGTTACGGCTCAACTTTATTTCTATTGTACTAAAAACATGGCTGAGTACGAGGCATGCATTCTAGGTTTAAGGTTAGCGGTAGATATGGGAATCCAAGAAGTCTTGGTCTTGGGAGACTTGGACCTTTTGGTGCACCAGATTCAAGGAGAATGTGAGACTCGGGATTTAAAGCTCATACCGTATCGGTAATGTTTGCATGATCTTTGTCAACGATTTCGATCAATAGAATTTAGGCATATTCCAAGGATCCATAATGAGGTTGCCGATGCTTTGGCTACCTTGGCGTCAATGTTGCACCATCCAGACAAAACTTATGTTGACCCTCTGCACATTCAAGTTCGTGATCAGCATGCCTATTGTAATGTGGTTGAAGAAGAACTTGATGGTGAACCATGGTTCCATGATATCAGGTAATACATCAGGATGGGGGTATATCCGGTACAAGCCACAAGTGATCAAAAGAGAATAATTCAGCGATTGGCTAGTGGATTTTTCTTGAGCAGAGGAATTTTGTACAAAAGAACTCCAGATCTTGGGCTATTGAAGTGCATAGATGCTAAACACGACTATCATGACAGAAGTGCATTCCGAGGTTTGAGGGCCACATATGAGTGGGTATGTTCTGGCAAAGAAAATTCTTCGTCCAGGGTATTAGTGGCTCACCATGGAACGAGATTGAATTAGCTTTGTGTGCAATGTCATCAATGCCAGGTACACGGAGACTTGATTCGTTCTCCGCCATCTGAGTTGCATACAATGTCCGCACCGTGGCCCTTTGTTGCTTGGGGCATGGATTTCATTGGACCAATTGAGCCCGCTATATCAAACGGGCACAGGTTTATTCTGGTGGCCATCGATCATTTCACTAAGTGGGTTGAAGCTAAGACTTTCAAATCTGTGACCAAGAAGGCAGTGATCGATTTCGTTCATTCGAATATCATTTGTCGGTTCGGAACCCCAAAGGTGATCATCACAGATAATGGTGCTACTCTTAACAGTCATTTGATGAAAGAAGTATGTCAACAGTTTAAGATCATGCATCGAAATTCCACTCCGTATCGCCCCAAGGAAAATGGAGTTGTTGAGGCGGCTAACAAGAATATAAAGAAGATACTTTGGAAAATGGTGCAAGGTTCCAAGCAATGGCATGAAAAGTTGCCCTTTGCTTTGCTGGGTTATCGCATTACTGTTCGCACTTTAGTAGGTGCAACTCCTTATTTGTTGGTATATGGTACTGAAGCAGTG